TGTGTGTGAGTGTGTGTGTGTGTGTGTGTGTGTATGTGTGTGTGTGTGTGTGTGTGTGTGTGTGTGTGTGTGATTAAGTACCGCTATATTTTAATCTTACTTGCCTCTGCACTTGTGTAGTCCTCTGTCTCAAGCTTATATCGATAATATTATTATTGCATATCTTTTATATGTGAGAAGATGAATATTTCGGTGGGTGGCAGTTTAATTCGGTTAATTCATTTTACTCTTGTTTTTCATTTTTGTGTGTCAAGTATGACTTGTCTGACTGATTCTAAAGACATCAAGCTCCTGAGGCGACTTGCGATAAGTCAATAAGTTTCCTTGAGGCGAATTTGTTTTAGAATATTTTTTGGAGGTATAGCTTAATTCTCCCCTAGTAAAGAACCGGCGTCTGTGGTGTAGCGGATAGGCTGTTCACTGTCGTATGCAGGAGACCCGAGTTCCTTTTCCGAGTAGGAAAAACTTATATAGCGTGCCTTGGTCTTTCTGCTGGAATGTTGTGATATTGTGTTCATCTTTGTCAAGATTCGCCCTGACTGGTAGGGTGGGGGCCCGCATTTTTAATCATCTAAGATTGGTTGATGAGATTGTAATCACATCTATACTCGTTTAAATTATGTCTAGTTAAGGAAATTTTGTCATGTGCCAGTATACGTGGCATGACTTTCAATATCACTGCATCAGGCCTTGTTCTCTTCTTGCAACCTTCAAAACTCTGTCACTCGCAGAAACTTGGGAACTTTTCTTTTACGGAAAAGTGTCAGTTTCAAAATTTTCACAGCCAGGCAGAATTTTGCTGCCGCTCTGAAAAGTGAAGAAGTTAACCATCTCCGTACGTCATGTTTTACTATCGTATCCATACGACGTGGGGAACTCTCTGCCACCACTTTCCAAAGAGGAAATTTACTCCTTAATCCAAACCGTACGATTTGCATAGCAGTCTGTCAAAATGATTTTTTGAGAAATACTGAAAGTTTCAAAGAGATCTTCGTACTAGAGATATTCGAAAATGTGAAGAATACAACCCCGAGGGTACAAAATGACCCCCAGGGCGTACGAATAGGATTAAGGTCCATTACTATGTGAAAATTGCAGTTTTTTGAGGGAATAACAAAACAAACAAGATTGGTAACGTTAGTTCCACTTTTCCGCCAGAACTTTCTTTTTTTTTGTTTTTTTGGAGTGTAATATGACAGTTTTTTCTCCATCTTAGTTTTGTTTTCAGCTGTCTTCTTTTGCCGACATGTCAACCGGGGGTTCGATTTTACGAGAATCAGACAGTCCGCATCTAATACTGGTTTTGCTTGGGAAATTTTGCAAAATATATGATGTTGGAAAGGGGCTCCAAGTTGTTTCTACGTATTTACCTTTTTCACCTGTTTTCATATCTTTTTTCAGTCTATCCACTTTGTTCTGTTCCAACACTACGTGACTATCATTGTAACGCCGATGTGCATCTTTACCCAAGGAAAAAGAAAACAAAAACAAAAAAGCAAACAAACAACCAACCAACCAAACAAACAAAAACACACAGAAGAAACAAACGAACAAACAAAAAATACTAGTACTAGCAGACCAACAAACAAACACATAAAAAAACAAAGT